AGTTGCTCATATGTGTCTCCAGCTATAATGTTCACGTCCTGAATTAATTTGAGAAGTAATTTGTGCAGCACTGTAACACAACTCTGGAAACCTGTAGTACCAAAACTGATGAACAACCATCAACAACAGTGATAATAATTCAATCTATGTAAATATTTGTATTTAAGATTTGCCTCTTCTAAATCCTTTCCATGAAATATGATCTACCAATATCAATTCCGCTTATGTTTCTTAAATAAAGTTATTAGTAAATATATTTATGTAGTAATCTAACCCCAATAAACCGAAGCAAAACTGTACAGATATTTTTAGAATTATTAATTTTGTAAATATTATGTCTTTGAACTTGCCATGATCACAGGAAGCAATAGTACTCTTTGTGCTGGACTGGTCAGACCATACCTGGAATCCTGTGTCTAGTTCTGGCCACCACAATACAAAAAGGATGCTGAGAAACTGGGAAGAGTGCAGAGATGGTGAGGGGCTTGGAGGCTAAATCCTACGATGAGTGGCTAAGGGAAGTGGGCCTGTTTAACCTAAGCAAGAGAAGGCTAAGGGGAGACCTGATAGCAGCCTTCCAATGCACGAAGGGATGTCTCAGGGCAGAGGATGTGGGTCTGTTCCCCAGAGCACCTGAGGGGAAGGCAAGAAGCAGCCGGGGGGAGCTCAACAGAGGCAGATCCAGACTCGGACTTAAGGAGGAACTTCCTGGCTGTGAGAGCTCTGAAGCCGTGGAACAGCCTCCCTCCTGGAGTCACGGGCGCTCCATCACGGAGGCTTTCAAGCCAAGGCTGGGACGGCCCTTGGTCCGGGATGGTCCGAGGATTCCCTCCCTGGGCCCTTCCCACCCTGTGATTCTATGATTCTATGATGCAGTTTGCAATCAGGGAATTTAAGTGCTGAACAAAATGAAATAATGTGAAATAAAAACCCCAACCATAGTTATTTTAAATGTTAAAAAAATCTTAACTGGACCTCATTCCCAGTCACTCCCAAATTCAAATTTCAGTGGGTTTTGACTGATGAATAGGAATGTGCAGAATATTTAAAGCTTGAAATGTCAAGCTGGGAATTGGCACTTTTGAGTGAGCCCTGAATAAACACCCTCAACCTAGTGTTTGATCTTGAGTCTAGGATATTATTATCATTATCATTATTATTCCAAATAAATTATATTTATATTATATTATTACAAAATATAAAGAGCACAATCAAAACATTAAAAACAACATAATCATCATCTGCAGAAGGAGGAAGAGAAAACTGAAGCAGAACTAAAAGCCCTTTGCGTAGTTGAGGCCTGAGCAAAGAAAATTTTCAGCGTACTTCACAACTGTTTGAGTGTGAGGATTTCACAGACAGATGCCACCACAGAGAAAGCCTCCTGGCGCATGGCTGCCCATATGCAGCCCTGAACAAGCCCCATATGCAGCCTTCCCTGAGCGATCAACCAGATCTGGAGCAGCGATCCTGGTTCCACCTTGTTTAGACTGTTGATGTCACCAGCAAACTTTAGACCCTCTGGGGAGCAATCTGGCAGCCCTGGAGGGGGCATCAGTAGGGATACAACCCATATTCTCCCAGACACTCCAGGCAGCTGACTTGACTGTTACATTCTTCACCAGCTACGGATGCCAGACCAAGCACCAGAATAGGCTCACATACAGTGTAACTTAAGAGTGAGTTTATCAGTGTGCAGACAAACAGAAGTAAGCTCTTCCTGTTCAAGAAAAGTAAGATCAGAAATGTCACTGAGACCTTCAATGACACTGATGACTCTAGGAGCACCTCAAATGACCCTTTTTTTCTAAGGGTATGCAACGTCTCATTCCTTACACATGTGAACAGTCTATCTACAAGATTGTTTTCTTATTAGGATTCAAAATCAGTTTAAAGGACATCATCTACTCCATCACAGGACCTAGACTCTATGTAGAACATGCACAGCCTCTCAGATTCTGAAGTTATAGTGAAAGAGAGCTGAGTATCATCAACATATTGCTGCTACCCAGTCTCAAACATCCTGATGATCACCTCCAGCAGCATCATATACATGTTAAAAAGCCTTAGGGATAAAATAGTGTCTTTGTCAACCCCACAGCATAGCACAGGCACCTAATACTACTCTCTGAAACCATTCCTGAAAGAGGAAGTGGAGCCACGATAACACAGTTCTCCCAACTCAGAAACCCTCTAGAAGGACAACCATGAGCTGCAATATCAAAAATTGCCATGAGGCCCAGCAGGGTCAACACTCCCTCTGGTCTTTGTCCTATCGGATGTCAGATTGGCTGATTCTGTCCCCAAACTAGACCTGAATCCAGAGTGAAAATATTGAGTCAATTGCTCTCCTTCAAGAATGATGCAGTTGCAGAGATATCACCCTCTTAGATTCTTTTCCCCCAAAGGCCTTTCAACTGACCTTTTAAAATTCCTCCAAGACTTGGAGTATACAAGCCAAATGACACAAATTCCACCCTCCTGCCTCTGGTTAGAGGTAGCTAAAGTAGAAGGCAGGCAAGGGAGACTTTGCTAAGCTTCTGCTGCTTCCTGTCTGGTGGATACGTTCGTTGCTTTTAAATTCATTACTAGAGGGAAGTTAGGTAATGTTATCGCTTTATGTGTTATGTGTTTTTTTCCTCTGGGAGGTTGCTAAATGCACCACTGTGCATTGTGCATGTGTGTGTGTTACAGACAGAATTGCTATGCTGCTGAACTGTATGTTGCCAAATACAAAACTATGCTGTACTGTTTATTTGGTGAATTTTGCAGGCAGTTTGTCTAATGTAAAAAGCTGCAAGGTAATAGGCAGAGGAATGTATTTTTGTTGTCATGTTGTGCATGGGCTATGTTAAAACAAATCCATTACCGTTACATCTTTGCTGAGTGTTGCTTGTGTGGGCAACTCTTGCTTCCATTATTTGCTATAGAAATTTTTAAAATTTATTTTTCAAAAATGGAAAATCATCCTCTTGGCCAATTTTTCTGTAGGACAATCGTTCTGTATTTCCTTATGTGCCCTATGATGTAAATCAAAGGAGCAAGGGGCTCGTTCCCATTATTCCCTTGAACGATTTTGAGTTTCCCAGTTAGTGTTCCAAAAACATTTTGAGAGGAGCTTTTTCGTTCCAACTTCAGGATGACTTTTTATTTGTTTTGTACACATTCCCAGTGATGAGAGGGAAATCCTAATGTGGTGAAACCCTTAGTCATTTTCATCAGAATGAGTGATGGGAACAGAAAGCTAATATCTGGTTTGGTTTTATATGTTTTACTATAGGTAGGTTTACTGCAGGATCTCTATTGTGTTTATAACACCTTATTTTCTTAGTTTTATATTTTAAAAGTTGTTGTGTATGTGTGTATGTATAATTCAGAAAGAGATGCCCCATTAATCTACATATTTACTAGTTAATTCCTCTTGCATCTGTTTTTTCTTTATGCCCCAATTGTAAAATTAAACAGTTCGCACTGAAGGATGGACTACCAAAGGCCCTGTGACTGCACTTTTAAAAAAGATAATGCCTGCTTGATATTGCTTATAGGTGACATTAATTTATGAAAAAGGAAAAAATGAAAAAGGAAGACAAGCTTCAGGCTGGAATTATTTTCCAGGAAAAAATATTGCTAACTCTATGGACTGGACCGACTCTATTTTGCAACCTGTATAATAACATGGATCTGATTGCAATATTTAAATCTCCCCTCACAAGCCAAAGCTGATGAGCTGAGATGCACCAAACCCCAGAACAAATATGTATTTGCAGAGCCTGAACGAGTTCTGCCACCACTAAAGCAAAGATGATTGAGATACTGCCAGGCTTTACTGTGGAATCTTAATAGTTTATGCAGAACCTTGGCTGTTAATTCAAAGCAGAATTCTTCAAAATCTGTTTCCACCACCACCAGCCCCAAATGAAAGTTTTATAAATGCAACTACTGTAGCTGGGCATGTGCAGATAAATGTTTGCATGCAGAATATAATATTCAAATCTTAATGCTTGCTTTGAAAATATGTTGTCTTATAAGTAGAACAGTTTATATACAGTAAACATTATGCTATTTCCAACTATACTTCCATCAACAGTCCAGTTGTAGAAACTGGAACAAGTATATCAAGGACAGAGAGTGGCCTAAGAGTTCTCCATATTGTGTGGCCAAGATCTGGCAAGTAGACTAGGCTGTTTCTTTAAAGGGCGTGTCTTGTGCTGGCCTCAGGAAAGCCCTCAGCTCTCTGCAGGTTGCTGTCTCTCTCTCTTTCACACACTGTGGAAGAATTCCTTGACAGAGGCACAGGGGATAGGCTTTCCTTTTACAATGTAGGTGGCAGCCAAGGGCTTGGGGTCTCCCTCTAGTAGCAGAAATGCCCGGTTCTGGTACCAGACACCAGTCTACTAGTGCTGAAACCAGCAGCCTTCTCTGGAGCTGTCAGGTGATCCTGCAATCTTACAGCTCACAGGTTCATTCCCCAAAGTTCTGGATAGGGCATGTGAAGGTCCCATTTCCCTACAGGATCACTTCCAGAATAATTCCTTTGATGGTGCCCAGGTGCCTTCTTCCAAGGCATTTTTAGTGCAAAAGAGAGAGATCTGCCTTGTAGTCACTGCATGTGAGCACAATCTCTCCTGTTCCTCATGCTGCACATCCCTAAAAACATTTCTTTCCATCTCTTTTTGGCATGTGAAAAAGGTGGAGCATAAAAAATTGGGATGTAGTTTAAATTTATTGGGAAGCACCCTGAGCGCTTTCTGTCTCTTCAACCTTTCAAGTTCATTTCTGAGATCTCTCTAGTCATCAAACCTTAAGCCCATAATAATTGCACTCTCTGTGCCTATATGGAAACTTGTTAGGGTCTTTCCCTATAGTGAAAATTAAACCATATTGAGGGAGGAGGTTAAGAAGTCAAGATTACAGCCCCAACTGTGCAGCGGAAGTCCTGCCCATTTTTGTGTGTGGACATCCTGACCCAAAGGCAAATGAAGCTTCAAATCTTAAAATGCTTTTAGGACTCTTTATAGTTGCACTCAATTGACCAACAGAGGACTTAAATACAGAGATGATGTTCGAACTAAAACAAGCAGGCAACCATGGATGTACTTCTGAGTAACTTTTTCATCGCGACAGGCTTGTGCGTTGAGTAAAGGTGAAAGCGAAGAGCCTCCTACTGAAGAGTCATGAATGCTAGGTCACTCGTAACAGCCGCGAGTTGGGCATTAAATGTCCCCAAAGAGCAGATCTGGAATGGCATCCTCTCTCAGGCAAATAGGAAACCAATCCCTTCCCTCTTTTTCCCCTCTCCTCCCAAACATCTGGTTCTCCTCATCCAACGGCCCTTTCCCTTTCGATTGGCATGAAGGCAGCGCCTCCTCTCTCTTTGCAGCCGCCTCTCCCATCTCTCCCCCCCCCCCT